ATTGCTTGAACCTGCTCTCCGTTTAATTAAATAACTTGCTTTACTTTTTCTATAAGCAACCCTGGGCTTGGGTTGCGCTGGTCTCCAGTCACTGTAACAAGCTGTTTGTTTCCTTAAAGGAGCAATGAATTTATAACTCCTGTGCATGCTCTGGGAGGGTATGTCTACACTTGCCCCCTAGTTCAAACTAGGGAGGTAAATGAAGCATACCGAAGTTGCTAATGAAGCGTGGGATTTAAATATTCCATGCTTGATTAGCATATTCACAACTGGTCGCCATTTTAAAAACTGGTAGCCTGAATTAACTCACCGTGTGTAGACGTGGTAGTCTGATCCAAAACCCTTGCACGAGGAATAACAGTTAATTCGAGGGAAGGGTTTTGGATCAGACTACCGCGTCTACATGCGGCGAGTCAATTCAGGCTACTGGCTTTTTAAAATGGTGACCGGTCGCAAATATGCTAATCAAGGGCAGGATTTTAAATCCCACACGTCATTAGCAACTTTGGTATGCTTCATTTGCCTCCCTAGTTCAAACTAGGGGGAAAGTGTAGACATACGTGGAGAGGGTGGGACACACCTGCCCTACGTGTGCAAGAAGTCTTGCACAAGAAAACATCCACGCTGCCATGTGCGAGCTGTGCTTTTGCACAAGAGCGCCCGTGGCAGTGTAGACGCTCTCTTGCGCAAGAAATTCCTGATGAGCATCCGCACTGCCCTCTTGCGCAAGAGCTCCTGTGCAAGAGGGCTTACACCCGATAAAAAAGAGCGTAGTGTTTGCACAAGAAGCCCTCTCTTACCACGCCGTACTGTAAATTTCCTTGCTTAAGAGCTGGCGGGCAGTGTGGACGCTCTGCAGATTCTTGCGCAAAAATGGCTGTACGGATTGCTGCCCGTTTCAGCACACGGGGAGGAGGGGGGGCAGAGGGGGTAGGGAGAGCGTTGTTCCTCTGTTGTCCTCTGCCCTGGCTTTGTGTTTATGACAACCGAAATGGTACCATGCCAGCACAGGAAATCCTGAGATTCCAGATAAAGTTTTTTCGTGGTGGTACAGAGCAAGACGGGGGGTGGGGTGCACTGCATGCAATGCAATACAGGAGTGTTTCTTGGTTTACACAGCTCTTCTGTGAGGGGTGAAGGTCGGGGACAGAGTCCCTCTGGCTGCACCCCCCGGCCCCCTAGGGAAACTGGCAGCCCTCTTCCCTGGCTTCTGCTGGTCTGCGCAGCTGCCCTACAGAGCAGCCCTCCCTGCCTCGGAAATGCTGCTGCCTGCACAGCTCAGCGGAAGGCAGGATGGGCAGGGCCCTTGGGGGAAAGGCATCTGGGCTCCTCTGGATGTTTCCCTGCAGTGTGACAGTGCCAGCCCTGCCACTTCCAGGGCTTCTCCAGTAACAGGCATGGTGCCTCCCCTGTACCTGGAGGTGTAGGGCCCATGGGCAGATGCATGGGGAGGCAGATGCCGATCGTCCATCTAGGGATGCAGGACAGTGGCAGTGCTAGAGTGCTCCTGGCGGCCATATGGGACGTGGGCTGCTGCTTTCCCGCTGGGTGCCACCTAGACCACAGCCCAGATAGCACCGGCCAGCGAGTCACTGCGCTGCTGTTCCCCTAGCGGGGGGAGGAGAGAGCTGAGCTCAAGTCGTGGACCACCTGGGAGCCAGGTGTGGACCACTAGTGATTCGTGGACTGTACTTTGTACCTGCCCTAGGGTGTGGTAAGAGCCGCCTATGGAGATCAGGCAGCTGTGGAGCATCCTGGGTACCAGGGTGCCCAAAAGCAGGCCCCGACCCATGTCTCTGCCCCCCAGGGCATGTGGCCCAGGGCAGGTGGAGAGTCCAGGGCTCCACACAGCAGCCCAGGCTACCTGAGCAGCTCTTACCACAGTTGAGGTTCTGGCCAGGTCAGGGCGTGGGGCGCTTAGGGAAGGGAAGGAGCAGGGGACAGGGCCCCAGAGGCTGGGGGGCAGTGTTCTCTGTAAACTGAGAACTTGGGCAGCCACTTTCAGTAGAGATTCAAATACCACCCACCTGATTAGCAGAGTGCCCACAGCTGGCAGCACGTGTTTCCACTGGTGGTGCACGTCCACACATGCCTTGATGCACAGAACAGCACAGAACAAAATTTATTCCATGCACGAAAGGGAAAAATTAAAGGGAATGTTGCTGGGGGGTTGGGGGGGGAGACCAAATGTTCTTTGTGACTGGGGCCCCAATAAATCTCCATCTGCCTCCGCTCGGAAGAGGCTGTGGGAGCCCCAATCAGTGCAGACCCTGCATCGGCTTTGGGAGCCCCATTTGAGGGACACTGGCAGATTATGGTGCATGTCAGGTGTCTCCTCCCTTTCCGAGACAGTTCCATTGATGAGCTTTCCCTGGCTGGAAATCCCATTCACACCCACAGGGTTCTGGGGCAGCCACCATGACACGCTTCACCCTGTACCCAGCGCTGCCTGCAAGTCGGTTCTCTGTGGGTGGATTTCCTGTAAACACTTATTTGCTGGCTTAGAAACTGCAGAAGGAAACAGCAGCTGGGATTTGCATAAACTGGTTTTAGGGGCTCTTAGAGCCATCGCTGAGCTGCTGGGGGAACCACAGGGTGGCTACGACTTGGGTATTTGTACACCCCTCCTGGCTGACCTCGCTCTGAGCAAACCCACCCTGAGTGAGAGCTGGGGGCTGTGCCCACACCTGTGACTATTTCAGTGATGGTAACCAGCAGCATGGCTCAAGCTGCTTCTCTTTTCCTGTCCTAGATGCCTCTGCAGCGCTGAGTCCCTTGCCCAGGTCCACAGTGGGACTGAACCTCGGGTGCTAAAAGCAGAAGCCAGCACAGCTAGAGCTAACAGACCATCTGCACTCGCTTAGGGGAGCAGTAGGTTCTTGTCCTCTTCTGTCTCGCACACCCAGAGGACACACGCTGCACAGACTCAGGCGGTTTGGGTTGATGAACTAAGTGTCACATCCCCTCCTGCCAGCGCGGGGCTGGGCAAACCTGCTGGGATCAGCTCCCGAGTGACTGGAACTGTCACTGCAGCTCCTGACGGGCCTGCTCCCAGCTCTGGGGATGGCTGCTTCATGCGTGAGGGGCTTGTGATGGGGTGTACAAACCCCACACGAGGCAACAAGGGATCATTTGGGGCTCACCTGCCTCACCACACCTGTGGCAAATGCTCCATCTCCATTTGCTCCTTTGAGTGACAGAGCTGGAGCAGGCCCACAGCGTGAGCAGAGGGAAGCCCAAGACTCTGATGTAACTGACCAAAGGGGGACCCACCCCAGAGACAACCAGAAGGGAAAGTACCTGGTGGTGGCCCATGGGCCTTGGGAACCCTTCTTACCTGTTGTGGGTTAACTTTCCCCATCTGGAGAAAACCTTGGACTAACCTGGAGGTTCTCAAACTTCACTGCACCACAACCCCCCCCCCCCCCCCCCACAAACAAAATAAGAGGGGCAGCAGCCCTGGCAACCCCATTCAAAGGGAGTTGTGACCCACGTTAGGGTCCCTGCCCCACAGTCTGAGAACAACTGGACTAAGGTGACCCCAGGGGGGCAGGTGGGAGGAAGAGGCGTAGGGAGGACAATTTTAAGCAGCGACTACTGTTAGCCCAAAGGGCCCTGGATCAGAGCCCAGTGAAGTGAGAGGGCCTGGCCTCCCCTCCTTTGCAGTCTGGTGTTACAGCTGTGACCATTAGGCCACATTTCCCAAGGGGGAGCTGTTACAGGGTGCCTGCGCTTACAGGTGGGAAAAGGCATGAGAAGCGGCTTGTGAATGTGCTGAGGTCCAGGCACACCCAGAGCCCTCCAAGGTGCCAACTCTGCGGGTGCTCTGGAACTGGGAAAATAGAGGGGGGGCTCAGGACCCACCGATCAGCTACTCCCCCTCCCTCCCAGAGCCTCCCACTTGATGCGATCAGCTGTTCAGTGTGCCGGGAGGGCTGGGGGGAGGGTGGGCCTTGCATGGCAGGTGGGGTGGGTGGGGGCGGCACGGGGTGGGGCCTTGGGGAGGGAGTGGAGTGGGGACGCCCATGTTGAGATAGTGGAGAGCACCCATGGCCCTGCCCTGTGGAGAGAGGGGACTGCCGGGGGCCAATCTCTTTAGTCCCTCGGGGCCTGTTTCTAATCAGTGAGTGGGGATCAAGCCTCGAGCACCCATGGCCCTGCCCTGTGGAGAGAGGGGACTGCCGGGGGCCAATCTCTTTAGTCCCTCGGGGCCTGTTTCTAATCAGTGAGTGGGGATCAAGCCTCCCCATGTCACAGAACTACAGGGAGTGTCGGGGCAGGGCTCAGCCATGGGCAGCGGGGCAGGCATGGCCTGGGCTGGAAAAGGATCACCAGCGGGGCAGGCATGGCCTGGTCTGGAAAAGGATCACAATGGTCACCCCCCACCAGTGCCTAGGAGTGCTGTGTGGGGGCAGCATGGAGCCCTGCCCCTAGGGGGCACTGGCCATGCCTCAGGCAGTGCAGCTGAGTCACCATGGCAAGAAGTAAGCATACAGCCCAGGGAGGGAAGGTGCAGGCAGCAGCTTGTCCGGACATTGCAAAGCAACCTACAGGTACCACTCTCAGGAGCCTACAGCAGGCGGGGATCCAGACAGACCTAGCGCCAGGCTACAGGTGGGGAAACTGAGGTACAAAGAAGAGACTCACAGTCAACCAGCAAGGACTCCAAGCCCTGGCTGTAACTACCTGTATCCCAACCCCCTTGCCCAGTGACTGTGAGGGAGGGATGGAGGGAGGGGAACAGCGACTGAGGGAGAGCATGGGGGCTCAGGAGGTGTGCGTGTCAGGGCAGGGGACTGGGCATGGATGTTCGGTTTTGTGCAGTTAGACAGTCTAGTTGCTGGGATTGGTGAATTAACCCACAGAATCAATTCTGTCCCCCCACAGCCAGCCTCTGGGGTGCGGGGCACCCAAAGCTGGCGCCTTTGGGCCTGGAGGAAGGTACCTTAAACTTGTATCCAACATACAGCTCCACAAAAGTGCACAGCCATCTTCTCCCATGTGTTTATTTACAGTGTGCATGGACTGTTGCTGGGCACTATCCAGCTGTCCTAGTGTTGCAAGCGCTACAGCGTGAGTAACAAAACCAGTCCCAAAGTGCTAGTGAGGGTGTGAGCGGTGAGCCCTAGACCCCATGGATCCGTGGAGCAATTTGTGCCAGCAGGGGGCACACAACAAAGACAAGTGAAACCCCATAACTCCATCTGACTGTTACTCTGGCAAATCATGGCGGTGCCCAAGTGTTGCTGATGGTGCCGGTGAACCAGGGGCTGGGGGAGGAAGGACAATTTGCTGCTTTTGGCAGAAGTTCTGAGTCCACTTTTCTTTTTTAAACCCCAGAGCTGTCCCCACAAGCCCACCACACCCTGCCCCTCTGGGTCACCATGGCTGCCTGGCAGGTGGCTTTCCCCTGCCAAGCTTGCTCTGGGGAGCAGTGCCCCTCCTCCCACTCTGCACGCCTGGGCTCTTCCCAGGCCAGGCACTGTTCCATGCCCCATGACACAGAGTGCGGGGGATCTAGCTCCCCCTGACCCAGGAAGCCATCATCCTGCTGCCCTAAGGGACATGTCCAGACCCTGTCATAGCTCCAGAAGGGGCTTGGGATGGGCTGCGAAGCCGTGTGTGACCTGGAGACAGCTGGTGTCTCCTTGCTGCTCAGATGAATTCTCATCCAGGGAGACCTGCCCTGTGTCACATGGACCCTCCATTGGCCTGCAGAGCGGGGAGCCGGCCGTGCCAGGAAGCTGGGTGCTGGGCGTCAAGTCGGGCACTGGCTCCTCCACGAAACCGCTGCTGTCAGACTGTGCACTGTGGGCATGGAGCATGAAACCTAAAGCCAAGAGAAATACAGGCTGGGACCAGGCCAGGCACGGCACCTCTCTTCATCAGTACAGTGCACCACCCCTCTGTACACGCTACAACTGCGCAGGGAGGCTGTGGGCAGGGCTGTGCTGGACGCAGGTTTGGGGACAGGGCACGGCAGGGTAGGGCAGGGCTGTGTGAGGGGCTGTGGGCAAGGCAGTGCAGGACTCAGGGATAGGGGTTGGAGGCAGGGCTGTGTGAGGGGCTGGGCTGTGTGAGGGGCTGTGTGCAGCAGGGCAGGAGTGTGTGAGGGGTGAGGGGCAGGGCCAC